TTACTTATACTTATTTTCCTTTTTGGAAACTTTCTTCCTGTTTATTAACTTTCTTCAATTCCTAGTCTTTTTGCGTTTATCCTTCTCGGAAACTTTCTTCCTGTTTATTAACTTTTATTCTACGTGATTTATAATATTATTAATATGTTTCACTGCTAGGTTTATTATTTATTACTTATACTTATTTTCCTTTTGGAAACTTTCCTCCTGTTTATTAACTTTCTTCAATTCCTTGTCTTTTTGCGTTTATCCTTCTTGGAAACCTTCTTCCTGTTTATTAACTTTCTTCAATTCCTTTTCCTTTTGCGTTTATCCTTCTTGGAAACTTTCTTCCTGTTTATTAACTTTCTCTTTACACAGGATGGTTAGACCCAGGAAGACCCCTTTAATCCGCAGTATCGGGTTTGATAATCCCTCAGACCTTACCCTTGCGGAGTTACGAGCTCTCAGTTTAAATGCCGTTAATGACCTTCCTGGTTTCCTAGCGGGTGTTGGTTGTGGGCTTTCCTATCGTCCCCATCCTTCTACCTGGTTCCCCCTGGCTCGACTCTTCTAGCCTCCCTTCTGGTACCGACTTACGTTTCGCCTTGAATTCTATGCTCTCTTCAGCTACGCTACCAGATTCTAAGCAAAACTTCGCAACCTACAACCAACGGTGTGAATACCTACTCAGTGTGGGCCCGACCGGCCTGAAGTCGAAACCTCCGCCTATAGCCTGGCCTCCAGCTCCTCTGGTATCTCATACCTCTGTGCTTCAAGGTTAGTTTGGTTATGCTACTTTTTAGTTATGCTACTTTTTAATTATGCTACTTTTTAGTTATGCTACTTAATATTTTTATTTATCTTACTCTATTCTTATTCATAATTTTATTTGCTGTACTTGTCCCTCTGTGGATTCAATTTTTAACATCTTTTGATAAGTGCTACGATAGATTTACCTTATCCCTTAGTGGAATATTTTTTTAAAATTTCTTTATTTATTTTTTATTTTTCACTTATTCTTTTTTATAATGTTACTTACTGTACTTGTCCCTCTGTGGATTTAATTATTAACAACAATTTTGATTAGTGCTACATTATATTTACCTTGTCCCTTGGTGGATTTATTTTTTCACTAAGTAATTTTAATTTGTCCCCCAGTGGGTCTACCTTCTCCCTTAGTGAATCTGGTCTTCCCCACAGTGGATTTCTTTTGTCCCTCAGTGGATTTCCCTTGTCCCTTAGTGGATTTTTTCCTTCCCTTATTAAATTACTTAACTACTTACCTTGTCCCATAAGTAGATTTACCTGTCCCACAGTGGATTTATCCTTCCCCTTAGTATATTACTTAACTACTTTGTAGATTTACCTGTCCCATAGTGGATTTACCTGTCCCTTAGTGGATTTACCTTATCTTTTAGTGTATTTGTTTGAATTTGTTTGTCCCACGATTATCTTTTCCTTTTCTAGGCACTCGTGCCTTTTTGGCACCAAAGGCAGTTCGAGGAAACTCCAAATATGGTCCTAATGGCCTCTTCAGTCCCTCATCCTTTGACCATTGTCCCATGCCTCAACATCTTATGCATACCTTAAGCCATGCTGCTAACTACTCACTTACAAAACAAACTTGGTCAGTTTACCGCACAGCCCAGAAAATGCTTTATAGATGTTGTACAGAAACCAATTCACGCTTCTCGTTACCCCTAACTAATGCTGATATTCTTACTTTTACTGCTTGGCTACTTGACCGTGGTGTCAAATCTTCTACAATTAGCTCTTATTTATCTGGGCTTCGACAAGTACACTTATCTAGGGGTGTTGACATCCCTTTAATTAGATCTGACCTTATCTCTCAAGTGTTGAAAGGTCAATCACACTTGGATTCCATCTCCTCAAAACATAAACCTACTAGACTGCCTATTTCCCCAACCATCCTTAGGATTCTCAAACTTGAAATTAACAACTCTCCCTTTTCTAAACTTGACAAACGCCTAACCTGGCTCCTTTGTACTTTGGCCTTTCACGGCTCATTCAGAATCATTGAACTCTTGTCAAAAACCAAACGTACTTTTGACCCTGACTTTTGCCTACTTGGCAATGATGTCACCCTCAAGCCTTTCATCCACAACAATTCTTCTATTTCTATCCTCTCTATCACTGTCAAGAGTCCTTAAGCCGGCCGCCCGCATACCATAGATATAGTGGACGTTTTTCCTACCAACACAGACCTCTGTCCTGTCAAAGCTTATATAGCTTTAGTTAAGTCCAACCCAACACCCGACCAAACCCTACCTTTCTTTAGTCTAGCTGATGGCTCTCCCTACTCAAGCCCGGAATTTAACTCTCACTTGAAACTCTGGCTTTCCAAATACATTGATCCGTCCTTTGGCTACATCTCTGGACACTCATTTCGAGCTGGCATCCCATCTATCCTTGGGAACTTGGGATTCATAGATTCAGACATCAAACTAGTAGGCAGATGGTCCAGTAACGCCTTCCAAACCTACCTAAAACTTCCTAGAACCAGAAGGCTAGCAATGGTGAAAGCCATTGGAGGTCTCTCCCTTTGATTATGTAGGTCCTTCACTTTATGACTTGTAATCATACTTTTAAGTCTCCCCTTTTTCCTTCAGCAAATAATTCTATTTACTAGTTTACCTATTTTTAGCATAAATCAACCACGTTTGGTTTTATAATTTTATTATTTAATAATCCCTTTTTAACACTTACCTATAATTGTATAGGGGCAGAACAAGACCTTAGCAGCGACAGTGATTCGTTACACAGTGTCGCCACTGACCCAGCTCACCTTGCCAGAGTTCTGCAAAGAGAGCTAGGTATTTTTATTATTTTTATTATTTTTTCATTAAATAATTTCTTACCTTATGTCTCAATTCTTGATAATTTTAATACCCAGCTATAGCCTAAATTTTTGAAAATTGCATAACAATTTTGCCTTTCATTTTGGACTACAGCCTTAATGGTCTCATACCATATATTTTGCTTGCGCTAATTTGTGCTTGTTACTAGGTTCCCACGCTGGCCCTAGCCGAGGAACTTTCGTTAGCAATCCTGTTTCCGACCCAGACTCTGAACAGGAGCTCCTTGATCCAGCACATGGTTGCTCTCAACCAACTGTGCAGTTTTCTAACAATGTGAATGTCAACCCCACCATGGTTTCTGACAATATTAACTTGTCTTCTATCCCGGTCTCTAGCAATACAATCCCTAGTTTAGCCACCTCCAACCCACTAACAACCTTACCTAGCAANTTAGCGTTTATTTTTTATTTATTCACAGGATTTATTTTTGTTCTTGATCTTACACTTATTTTTCACTCACTTACTTGTGTTTATTAATCTTTTTTCTCATGTTTTTAATTTTAGTTACGGTTTTCATTGTAATATTTGATTTTTACTCCTTCATTTGCAATGAAACATTTATACATCTGTACTTCCACTTTTTGGTGGTTTTTGATCTCTTATGATCTTATTAATGTATTGTTCATTATAATCATTTATTGATCTTCACTTTATGTTACATCGGGCTAATTGATCTTTACCTAAAGTTGTTGGTTCAATTTTGTTCGATCATTATAAACATTTATTGATCCTTAACTAATTGTTCCATGGCTAAATTGATCTATGCTTTAGTGATCTTCCCCCGAATTGGTTGGTCTTCATTTTTACTGATCTTTCCTTTTTTCATTGGTTTATATTCCATGTTATATGTTATTATAGTTTTTGGCCTCTAATTAATTACCAAGGTTCTTGGTTTTCTCTACGTATGTATTGTTAATTATGCCCTTACAATTCTAATAAACATAAAACTTAACCCATTTATTTTATTATGTGTGTTAAAGGTTAATAACAATTGCCTACAGTCGTCCATCTTTTGTAATTAGAAGCACAGTTACAGCTTTCTTAGCTATTTTACTTGCAGTACATCTAGAGATTTCTTAACTATTTTACTTGCAGTACATCTGGAGCTTTCTTAGCTATTTTACTTGCAGTACATCTGGAGCTTTCTTAGCTATTTTACTTGCAGTACATCTGGAGATTTCTTAACTATTTTACTTGCAGTACATCTGAAGCTTTCTTAGCTATTATACTTGCAGTACATCTAGAGATTTCTTAACTATTTTACTTGCATTACTCCTGGAGCTTTCTTAACTATTTTTACTTGCAGTACATTTATAACCTCGTTGACCAATACAGTGTTGACCGATATTAACTATTCTACTTGCAGTGCAGCTGGAGCTTTCTTAGCTATTCCTGTGCATTTACATTAATTCTTTACTGCTATACGCCTTTGAAGAACTTTAAAACAATTTTTTAAATAAAATAATTTAGATTAAATCTTTCTGCTATACGCCTTTGGAGAACTTTGAAAAAATATTTTTTAAAATAAAGTAATAATCAAAATACATGTACTGTTATGATAAAATTTTAGGTTCAAATTTTTAATACTTCTACCTGTTACACTATAACAATAATTTTATTGCCAATATCGTTATATGGTTCTAATATTATACTTACGTAAGCATCTTATATATTTTAAATTCTAGGATTACCAAATAAGTTAATTGCCTCCGTTTTCAAATGTCGTCTTACTCTCTTTTCTCTCCTAATTAAATTATATTTTTACAAAATACAAATTAATCTTCGACAAAATGATATCATGTAACAAATTGACAATTTATTAACTAATGCCGTTTATAATTCAGATAAACCTACATTGACCTGTATTGCGGACTTTAAATGTCGTCGTAATTTCTTTTCTCTTGAAATTTACTAAAAATTATTCGCGGCATTGTCAAAACAATCTACAAACTCTTCTTTATAAAATAGTGAGTTTTATTTCTTTTTTCCATTTTTTGTTTAGTAGCATAACCTATAACCTGTACTAGCATGTTTAAGTTCGTTCGCTTCCTTTCTATCTATTATAGTTCCCCTATGTACGCCACTAAGAATAGTCCTGATATGATTTGATTTGATGATTTGAAAAGGCTCAGGTCGGATATCAAGTAATGGTTGTGGACTAAAATTAACTCACTTTAGCTTGGTTAGTTTCTATGCCAGCATCAGTGAAGAACGTAACAACATAGTAGAATATCGCAACAATTCCTAAATACATGTTAATTTAAGATATAAGTACTATAAAAGTTATAGATGAATAAAACTGTAGAAAAAGTATATTTTAAAATATATGATGAATAACGCCATTTTAAGACGCGAGTCATGGACTGTTTACGTAACGTAACCCACATCAGTTTTGCCTCCGACCCAAATAAGATGTCACTAAGTGGATTTACAATATCACACTTGCACGGCGAGTTGGCAACCCACCAACTGGGATAAATCGAAATGTCTGTAATATTAATTGCGAATCATGGACAAATTTCTGTTACAGCAACCATTAAACGACAACGTTTCAAAGATATTTTCGTTTTCCCTTTATAAAGATTACTCTGTTAAACCTGAAAGCTGTTGAGAAAGATGCATGACAATGCCAATAGTTAACGCGACCCTGAGCTTGCTTGATTTGATAATATCCCACAGATTCATATCTGGCTCCTTCTCAGCCTGAAGATAATGGAGTTTTAATTTTAAAACTTTTAAAAAATTTAAACGTTCCTTTTCAGGAAAGATATGCAACATTAAAGTGTGTAATCGGCAATGTATGGTGTTGGAACTGAATATACTGTATTGTGGATAAAGATTTTAGGATTCATTTGAGACATATAAAACGTTTCTACGGCGTATAATTACTGAGTTTAAGCGCAAAGTCGACGTTCAAAATCATGAATTTGAGTGGGTTCGTTTTCAGAATCGTTGTTTTTTAATTATTAAATAATGACGACGAATTTAAAGTAAACAAAATTCTACAGTAAACTAATTAGTTGTTAAGGAACAGGTTGAGAAAATAAAAATTAACTCTTATCATCTTATTCAATTATTAGTTTCTATAATCTCTCATTATTCACAAAGATTTTTAGCAGATTTTCGGGAATTTTTATTGAAAAGACGACATTTGAGGAATTTGTATAAATCTGCTAACAAATTCATAGAAAATAAGAAATTCAATATAATGATGAAAAGGAAATAATTGATTCTAACATTGATTTATAGACAAACTTCTTTTGAGAAATGTGTTCCTAACCATCTAATTAGTTTACTTGTGTATTTAAGCTTCTATCTATTTATTGATAGGTGGTTAAATATCGTGAAGAAGACGACTGAGAGGGATGTACAGTACTGCTGATTTTGCCGCAACCCTTTCCTTCCTCGCTTCTCACATGTTGTTACTACTCCCCCCGACTCTACTTCACTTCTATACCAGCTCTTGGACCGTCAACTACTACCGGTCTCCTCCCTTTCTTATTAAAGGATAGTATTTTTCTTTATTTGGTTAATCACTATATTTCAAAGTTACTGATAAGTTTTGTTTTAATTTACAGCTTAATCAGCTTTTCTTATTAAAAGATAGTATTTTCATTACTTTAGTTTACTACAATATTTCAATTTTAGTTTACTACAATATTTCAATTTTTTCCTGATAATTTTTATTTAGTTTAATTTATTGTTTAATTTGTTTATTTAGTTTAATCTTTAGTTAATTTGTTTGTTTTTTGTTTTTTTTTGCTTCGGTCACTTTTTCGTCGAGTTTATCCAAATTTTCACTGATAGGTTTAATTATTTATTATTTACTATTTATTTTCTGATACCTTTGCCTTTTATTTTGCGTGAGTTCTAAAATTAGTTTTATCAATTCAATTATATTATTAGATGTATTTGAATTGTTTAATTTATTTATTTAAGCTTTAACCTTTAGTCAATTTGGTTATTTATTTTCTGTTACTTTTGCTTTTATTTTAAGTGATTTATAACATTATTAATATTTTTCACTGCTAGGTTTATTATTTATTACTCATTACTTATTTTCTGTTTGCTTTTTATTTTACTTAGATTATAATATTATTATTATCAATTTGCTTCACGTTCCTTTCTTTTTTTCTCTAACACTTGTTCAATTAGTTCTTCTAAATTCCTCTTCTTTTTGCGTTTATCCTTCTTGGAAACTTTCTTCCTGTTTATTAACTTTCTTCAATTCCTTTTCTTTTTGCATTTATCCTTCTTGGAAACTTTCTTCCTGTTTATTAACTTTCTCTTTACACAGGATGGTTAGACCCAGGAAGACCCCTTTAATCCGCAGTATCGGTTTTGATAATCTCTCTTCAGCTACTCTACCAGATTCTAAGCAAAACTTCGCAACCTACAACCAACGGTGTGAATACCTGCTCAGTGTGGGCCCGACCGGCCTGAAGTCGAAACCTCCGCCTATAGCCTGGCCTCCGGCTCCTCTGGTGTCTCATACCTCTGTGCTTCAAGGTTAGTTTGGTTATGCTACTTTTTAGTTATGCTACTTAATATTTTTATTTAACTTATTCTACTCTTAATCACAATTTTGTTTGCTGTACTTGTCCCTCTGTGGACTTAATTTCAACAACCTTATTTGAATAATATTTTTATTTAACTTAGTCTACTCTTAATCATAATTTTGTTTGCTGTACTTGTCCCTCTGTGAATTTAATTTCCAACAACCTTATTTGAATATTTTTATTTGACTTATTCTACTCTTATTCATAATTTTATTTGCTGTACTTGTCCCTCTGTGGATTCAATTTTTAACAACTCTTGATAAGTGCAACAATAGATTTACCTTATCCCTTAGTGGATTATTTTTAATTTTCTTTATTTTTTATTTTTCACTCTATTCTTTTTCATAATGTTACTTGCTGTATTTGTCCCTCTGTGGATTTAATTATTAACAATAATTTTGATTAGTACTACATTATATTTACCTTGTCCCTTGGTAGATTTATTTTTTCCCACAGTAATTTTAATTTGTCCCCCAGTGGGTCTACCTTCTCCCTTAGTGAATCTGGTTTTCCCACAGTGGATTTCTTTTGTCCCTCAGTGGATTTCCCTTGTCCCTTAGTGGATTTTTTCTTTCCCATATTAAATTACTCAACTACTTACCTTGTCCCATAAGTGGATTTACCTGTCCCATAGTGGATTTACCTGTCCCTTAGTGGATTTACCTTATCTTTTAGTGAATTTGTTTTTTCCCTTAGTGGGTTTGTTTGTCCCTCAGTGGATTTATTCTTCCCCTTATTATATTACTTAACTACTTTGTGGATTTACCTGTCCCATAGTGGATTTACCTGTCCCTTAGTGGATTTACCTTATCTTTTAGTGAATTTGTTTTTTCACTAAGTGTGTTTGTTTGTCCCACAGTCGATTTATTCTCCCCCTTATTATATTACTTAACTACTTTTCTTGTCCCACAGTGGATTTGAATCATACCTCAGTGGATTTATTCTCGCCCATAGTGGATTTGTTCTTGCCCATAGTGGCTTTTATAATAATTTATCTAATCCAAAACAAAACATAAATTAACCTTTCCTTTTCTGTACCATTCCTACAATTATCTTTTCCTTTTCTAGGCACTCGTGCCTTTTTGGCACCAAAGGCAGTTCGAGGAAACTCCAAATATGGTCCTAATGGCCTCTTCAGTCCCTCATCCTTTGACCATTGTCCCATTCCTCAACACCTTATGCATACCTTAAGCCATGCTGCTAACTACTCACTTACAAAACAAACTTGGTCAGTTTACCGCACAGCCCAGAAAATGCTTTATAGGTGTTGTACAGAAACCAATTCACACTTCTCGTTACCCCTAACTAATGCTGATATTCTTACTTTTACTGCTTGGCTACTTAACCGTGGTGTCAAATCTTCTACAATTAGCTCTTACTTATCTGGGCTTCGACAAGTACACTTATCTAAGGGTGTTGACATTCCTTTAATTAGATCTGACCTTATCTCTCAAGTGTTGAAAGGTCAATCACACTTGGATTCCATCTCCTCAAAACATAAACCTACTAGACTACCTGTTTCCCCAACCATCCTTAGGATTCTCAAACTTGAAATTAACAACTCTACTTTTCTAAACTT